TTAAAATTATTGCTACTTCACCCTTTCCTGCAAAGGTGACATCCACAGCCTTTATGACAACTCCATTTCTTAGACTAAATGCACAAAGAAGAGGCACCGGGGACCCATTCAACTCCCTGCCTCAAGGCTTTTTTGATCACAGGCACTTGATTATTTTTACTTATGTGGGTTTAAGAAACCGCACAGCACAGCATATACCAAGGGCAATGGTAAATAACGGAGCAGCAGGAGCTGCCAGCTCTGACAGACTGGCTGGGCTGGAAGAGAGCCCTTGAAAAACCGCTTTGGGCGCAGGGCTGCCTGCTCGGCCCCGTCCGGGCTGGAACCTGACAGATGATGCAGGTGTCCTTAATGGCAAACACAAAGCAGAGCAAAGCCCTTATCACCATCTGGGTGGGGAGACGCGTGCACTGGAGAGGGGTGTGCAAACAAAGCCTTTCAAGGCTTTAACTTGAAAGGTTTTTGGAGCGACTGGCACTGCTGCTGTGTACAGCTGGCCCCTGGTGCAAGCCGTGGCCACGCTGTCCTTCAGAGAGGTCTCGGGGTCAGGCAGGACACTTTAGACCAAGGGATGGACTTGCACTGAACAGAGAAGCCCCCAGGCAGATGGCCCTTTCTCCAGCTCTCCTCTGCAGCAGGAAAGCTTCTGCGTCCTAGAGCCAATCCGCCGGTCACGCCAAACAACTGCAGCCTGTTCTGAGCTCCTGGGGGACCCGCTCCACCACCGCAGCGGGCTGGATCCCCGCTTGCTTCAGACATGGTCACCTCTTGCCCTGCCAACTAGCCTGAACATTTCACCCCAAAGAGTATGACACCATCTGCTTGGTATGTCTCCTCTGGAGTCTTCTACTGAGCACATGAGAAGACCTCATCTACAACTATGTTGTCTTTGGTACAGAGCCAAGGGGCTCAAGCCATCTGCATCCATGCAGTCTGCAGGGACAGTGCCGGAGTCTGAACCAGCCCTGCCCCGCTGGGGCAGCCGGCTCGTGGCTAGAGCACATGTGCCAGCATGAAAGCAGAGAGAAAATGAGGGGTTTGCAGAGTGCAGCGGGTGCCAGGGCTGAGGGAGCCCCCGTTCAGACAAGAGCTATGTCCAGGTGACACTGGTGACCCGTTGGGAGAGACCTGGAGCGGGGCATGTAGGATCTAAGGCTCGTGGAAGAGAGGGGCTCTGCGTAGCACTGCTTGGACAGCCGCGTTTCACGCACCTGCTATAGATGCGTTTTTCCCATTATCCTGGTCCAAGAAGATGCCATGACCTGCTTGTCGGGCCCAAAACCACTGAACATTGCTCAGCACCTTCCTCTCCTGCCTCTCCAGTCCCCATCCATGCAAAACAGGAACAGAAATGCTACCAAGAGCCAAGCAGTGGAAAGAGGAGAACCATGCCAGGAACAAGCCAACATAACTCTGCGGAAACACTCAGCTTCTTTTTCGTATTTCAGGGCTCCAAGAAACACAGCAGAACTGGATCTATGACCCTGGTGCTCCACAGGCATCCCCTGCTTCTCCCTCCCAGCCTGCACCCCAGCACTAACCACTAACAGGCACAGAAGAGGCTTTGCAGCTACCAGCTACTGCAGAGAGCAACCGAGTGCTCAGAACCAGACACCAAACCTCCTTTTCCCTTCAAAAAAACCAGCTGAAAGTTTCCTACAACGACCCAGAGCATTTGATGGCCCAACTCTGCAAGACCAGCCTTTGCATGCCAAACTCCGCTTCCTCTGGATGACGCCTTGAATGACCAAAACCACTCTTAAAGATAAAACCATCAACTCCCCTGTCTCCAGGGGAGTCTGGGCTCCCTTCCTGACAGCTCTTGGGCTGTCTGGAGAAACCTGGGCAAATTCTTTGGCCTGCAATTTCCCCCGCCCAGGTGGCAATGCTGACTGCTGGTCAGTAGGGGAGAGAAAAGCACTGCAGAAGAATCAGCTGCTGGGGAGGACTTGTCCCGGGCCCTTTAAAGGAGCCCTGTGGACCCAGGAGGCAAGCAGGGTCCACCTCGCTGATGGGATGTGGGCACACGCAGCTGGGGAAAAACAAAAGGACAATAAAACCAGCTTCTGATTTAAAAGCAGAAGGAGAAGGCAGAACCATGGAGCCTGTGGGCTACGAGACAGAAAAGCATGCAGTTTTGAAGCATGACCCATTCAAGTGCCAAGCCAGATCTAAGAGCCGAGCACTGGAGAGCGGGAGCTGGTTTTCTCAAGAGCAGGACATCTCTCCAAACCATATTTTGAAGAGGCCTCATCACCCAGCTATGCAGGGCTGTTTGGGGGAAAACCAGAAGAAAGCAGAAACAGCACGAGCCCTTCCCTTTGGTGCTTAGGAGAAACAAACTCTTGGGAGAGGGGAGGACCGGGGAGCCAGCCGGGAAGCCTACAAGGTCAGCGAGTTTGGTTTCAGGCAGCTCTACTGATTAGCACGGGCTACCGCTGTTCTTTTGGGGGGGACCTTTTTGCTAAGGAACAACCACCAACCGCTCCTCCCTCGCCCCGGCCTCCCTTCACTCCCGAGGTGCAAAGCCAGGAAGGAGCCAGGCTGAGAACCCTCCCCGGGCCTCGCTCCTGCCTCCTCGAGAGCTTGGCTTGCTCGGGACGGTGCCAAGTGTGCATCTGTGCGCGCTGCGGACAACAGGACCTCAGCACATACACAGGAAGTTAATCACACAGACCCTATTCTCATTTGAATTTTGAAACCCTAGCTGTATTAAAAAAGTCTTTGATATTAATATTAATATTATTTATTATAATAAAGAACAGTCAAGCAGCGTGAAAAAAATATATCTTAGCTACATTACCTTAAATTGCCAAAAATATACACATTTTTCTCTTTTATTTAATAAAAAAAATCAAAACAAAGACACATGCAACATACTAAATGAGACATTAGCATCAAAACGGGTAAAGAAACGTACCCCAGTGCAACTGAAACACAGATAATCTTTAGCTTTTATTTTTTCTTTCCCCTGCTCTCCCTCTTTTTCACAGAGATACAAACGTTTAATGTCGACCTTCCAGCAGTGCCCCCTTCTTCTCCCCTCAATCTGCCAAAGGGACCTTTGGCTCTGGGACAGGCTGAGGCGATTAGACAAGGAGCACACTTCAAAGGGACCGGGCGCCTTTGGAAGATGTCAGAGAAATGTGTAAGTGCTATATGTCTCTTCCCCCACTCGTCCTCTCCAGCCTCGTCCCTCCCTGCTGCAGAGGGCCCCGGGGAGCAGAGCGCCTTCATACTCAAACTACTGCCACCAGCAAAAACCAACGGCACGGCCAGCAAAGAGGGGGGGAACCAGGGATGCTGCGTAGCTCAGCCCTCCCTGCTTTTTACAGCGATCCTGCCTACAA